TGTGTGTGTGTGTGTGTGTGTGTGTGTTTTACCAACTTTACTGTTTACTGACGTCACCGGCATGTTTTTCCATCAACCTGACGTCATCTTTATCTATAAACTAGTGACTGTAGTACATACAGTCATACAATCCTTTATTTTTCATTCTTCTCTTGTTCTCTCTTTTTTTCCCCTTGACTCACTTCTCTTCCTTCTTTCTCTTTTTTTCATTTTGAGACCCATACCAAAGAACTACACAACCCCCTACCACTAGTAAACATTGCTTATTCCACATTTCTTTCTGTCTATCTAATTCACACAAACTACAACTGACAGCTTCTGTTGATAAAACTAATTTTGGTAGAAACGTAAAATGGTTCAGTGTGTGTGTGTGTGTGTGTGTGTGTGTAGAGGAGCGACAGGGTGGCTACTAGAGACGGTTCAAGTTCACCCTTCACCCCTTTACGTTCCTGGTTCAAATCCTCGCCATCTCCCCAACGCTTCTGACAGATGAAATTCTAGCGGAAAGCTTTTGCACATGTTTTCTTACCAGTGACGATCTTGTTTTGTTTCCCACTTAGAACGCTCCTCTTTCGCGCCCTTTCTCGTTTGTTCTCTTCATAGCGCTTCAGAACAATATAAACTGGCTTGTTATATTCAATACCTCTAAAACCACATCAACAACACTTCATCATCGGGCAGACACTGGATTTTCAGTTGTTATCATGAACGTTTGTACTTTGAATGAGGCTACTTTCTTGAACGTCTATAAGAACTTAAGCTTAGCTATACCTGAAGTGGAACTCACGTATACGATGCATTGCTAAAGACGCTGGAAAAATGATCGGTTACTTATACCGCCCCAGGAGCGTGTAAGCCCCTACCTTGAGGGGTATACACATTCGGATACTTTCCGATTAGAGAGAGCCGTCCTTGCACTGGTAGTATCACAGCTATGACCAACTATGACTAGCTTAGATCAGCTCTGACTAGCTTGAACAAGCTATGACCAGCTAAGACCAGCGGCCCGAGTGACGATACTCGGGTCCCCCACGTTAAAAACCGACCCTGTATCACAACCTGACTCAGTGGGGAAGTCAAGTAAATATAACTCCGGAAAGTAACTGGCTCCTCCTGCCATGCTTAAGGAGTTGATATATCGTTAAACAAACAAACCAGACCAAAACCTACCATTCCGTATCCTGACATGAGTCAGATCAAATTAAAAAGAGTGATTTGCGGCTATATCTAAGCAGGAGATGCTTTTCTAGCTTAGACCGAGTTCAAAAGCCTCTACGTCGCACTGTACTTGATGATCTTCTACCCAACAACCTCTTTCCCCACAGACGAAACGTCGCAAGCTCATTGCTTTCAATGACTAATGTTCTGGCGAGCTACATCTCTTAGCTTCACTAGTTGAGATCCTTACAGCTGAGATCCACCATGTCAGCGGATATAAGATCGAACCACCCTCACTCCCTTCGTATTCCATTGATAAAAAGGAAATTCCATTCGGACATCGTCTTTGTTCAACAGAATCACGAGCCGATGCTTCCTCGATCTCTACCATCTTAACATCAAACGCTATCTATTTTAAAAAAATATGTAGTAAATTTACCTGTAAAGAATACAAGGCTTAACTGAATGGGGAAGGTGGATCACTGATAACTGTGCAAGTGATTGTATTTTTGACTACACAAACCAATCATATATTTACAGACTACAACCTATCCTAGAGAATGAAACATAAATTCAGGTAGACTAATGGCTAATGAGGCTAGTCTGGTTGGTTACTGATCAGTGAGTTCGATCCTCACTAGGTGTCCCATATAAAATTCGATATTGAATAACCCAAAAAAAGGTTGATACGTCGAAAAATCAGCCATTGCCTAAACGAACATAAAACTCTTCAGAGACTTTGAGATTCAAATGGATCCCCCAATAAGGCCAGAAAACTGGATCGCCCATTCTTGGTCAGAAGGACAGTTCCCCCAATGTGGTCCAAAACACTGGATGCCCTCTATCCAGATAAAAAAAATGGATCATCGATTTCTGACCAGAAGATGCTCCAAAGTTGTCCAAAGGATCAGAGCCACCAATACAGGATGACACATTATTGGTTAGAAGACCAGACCTTCCAATCTAGTCCAAAAGACAGGCTCCACAATACATGAATCACCCATTCCTTGTCTTAAGACCAGATCCTCCAGTCTAGTCCAAAAGACAGGAATATCACAAACCAGGTTAGAAAACTAGATCGACGATTACTGTTAAGATGACCAGATCCTCCTATCTAGTCCAAAGACTGGCTCCAACAATACAGGTCAAAAGACTTGATCATTCATTCTTTGTCAGAGGATTAGATACCCCAATCTAGTCCAAAACAACAGGATTCCCCAATCAAGGTAAGAAAACTGGATCACCCATTCCTGGTCAGAAGACTTGATATCACAATCTAGTACAAAAGACCGTATCCCTCAATCCAGGTCGTAAAACTGAAACACCCATTCTGGTCAAAAGACTAGATTCCTCAATCTAGTCCAAAAGATCGAATGCTCCAATCCAGATTAAAAAAAAACTGGCTTATCTATTCCAGGTCAGAAGACCAGATCCTTCAATCTGGTGCAAAAGGTTAAATCCCTCAATCCAAGTCAGAAAACTGGATCACACAACAGATCAGATCTCTCAATCTGGTTAACAGATCAGATCTCTCAATCTAGCCCAAAAGACTGTATGCCGTAATCCATGTCAAAAACTGCATCACCCTTTCCTGGTCAGAATCTTGTAATCTAGTTCAAAAGACCAGATCCACCAATCCAGGTCAGAAAACTGAATCACTGATTACTGGTTAGAAGACCAGGTGCCGAATCTAATCATATAGACTGGACACCCCAATTCATCTCAGAAAACTGGCTCACCCATTTATAGTCAGGGGACAAAATCCGCCAATCTTGTCCAAAAGACCGGATCCCCTAATCCAGGTCAGAAAAGTGTATCACCCACTCTTGTTCGGAAGACAAAATCTCACAATCTAGTCTACAAGACCGGATCCCACAAATATGGTCCGTAAACTGGATCGGTCATTTCTGGTCTTCAGACCAGACCATCGAATCTAGTCCAAAAGGCCATATCCACTAATGGTGATCAGAAAACTACTTCAGCCATGACTAGTCAGAAGACTAGATCTTCCAATCTACTTCAAAAGACCACAGCCACCAATCCATGACGGAAAACTGGATCATCCTTTTCTAGACAGAAGTCCAGATCCCCCAAACTGGTCCAAAAAACGTGATCGGACAATTAAGATCAGAAAATTGGATCACCCATTACTAGTCTGAAAAGCAGATCCTCCTATCTAGTCCAGAAGACCGGTTCCACTATTCCATGTCAGAATATTGGATCAGCCATTCCACATCAGAAAACCGGATCCAACAATCTAGACCAAAAGACTGGCTCCTCACAATACAGGGCAGCCTACTGGATCAACTATTCCTGGTCAGATGATTAGATCCCACAATCTAGTACAAAAAAGAGAGGGTCCCAAAAACAAGGTATGAAAACTATTACCCATTTCTGGACCAAAGACAAGATACCTCAATCTGCTCCAAATGACCGGATATCCCAAATCCAGGTCGAAAAACTGAATCAACCATTCCCAGTAAGAAGACGAGATCCCCCAATCTTGTCCAAAAGACCGTATGCCCAAACCAAATAAAAAACTGTATCAGAGATTCCGCCTCAAAAGATCTTCCAATATTGACCTGGAGATCAGATCCCCCAAACCAGGTGAGAAATCTGGATCACACATTCAGGGTCAGAAGACGAGCCCTCCCAAGCACATCCTCTAAGCCAGGTATGAAAACTGAATCACCCAACTTGGTCTGAAAACCAGATCCGCCAAATAATATCCTCACTGTATCAGTTGTTTCTGCTCAGAAGATCTGATCCCGTAATTCAGGCCAGGAAGATGGATCACCCATTCCTAGCCAGAACACCAAATCCTACAATCTAGCCCAAAAGACCAGATCCCCCAATCTAGGACAGAAAACTTCATAACCCTTCCTAGTCAGAAGAACACGTAATCTCAATCCAGGACAGAAAACTGGATCACCCATCCAATCTTGTCCCAAAGACCGGATCCCACAATGATCAGATGACAAATATTCCCCAATCTACTCCGAATAACCGGATCCCAATCAATGTTCAAAAACTGGATCACCCATCCTGATCAGATGACAAGTTTCTCCAATCTAGTCCAAATAAACGGACCCCCCAAGCAATGTTCGAAAAGTGGATCATGCATTCGTGAGCAGATTAAAATATTCCTCAATCTACTCTGTTCGGAATCTGGTTCAGCCATTCATGATCAGATGACAAGATTCCCTAATCTGGTCGAAATAACTGGATCCCCTAATCGATGTTCGAAAACTGAATACCCCATTTCTGATCAAAAGACAAGATCCCCCAATCTAATCCAAAACACCGCATTGCCTATCCAAAGAAAAACTGGATCTTCCAAAATTTTCCAAAGGATCAGATCAAAAATCCAGGGTAACACATTTCTTGTCAGAAGGCCAGTTCTTCCTATATATTCCAAAAGACACAATCCACAATCAACGTCTGGAAACTGGAACACTGATTCCTTTATCAGGAAAGCCAGATCCCAAATTAGCCCAAATCTCCGAATTCAGCAATCCCGACAAGAAAACAGATCACCGATCCCTAATCAAAAGAACAGATCTCCAATCTAGTCAAAAAGACAAGATCTCACAATCTATGTAAGAGGACTGGCTTAACCATTCCTGATCTGATGACCAATTTACCCAATCTTGTCCAAAAAACCAGATCCTCAAATCGAGGTCAGAATACTGGATCACCCAATACTGGACGGGAGAGAAGATCTCCCAATCCAAAATATCGTATCTTCTTATCCGGTTCAGAAGACTCGATCACCCTTTCCTGACATTTCAGACCAACACCGCAATTCTGGTCAGGAATCTGGCTCACTTATTTCTGTTTAGATGACTAGTTCCCCCAATCTAGTTCAAAACACCCTATCTAGGTCAGACAAAAGGTTAAAAATTCCGGAAACACCAATTCAGGTCTGAAAACTGTATCACCCTTTCCTGATCAAATGACAAGATTCCCCAATCTAGTCCAAAAGATCAACCATTCCTGGTCAGAAGACCACACCCCCCAAACTACCTCAAAAGAAAGGATTTTACGTTAGAAAAGTCGGTTACCCATTCTTGGTCAGAAACCAGATCCTCCAAAACATTGTAACCCCTCCAATCCATATCAGAAAACTGGATCACCGATTACTAGTCAGAAGACTAGATTTTCCAATTTTGCCCAAAATACCGCACCCCTCCCCCTAATCTATGTCGGAAAACTGGATCACCCATTCTTGGTCAGAAGGCCATATTCTACAATCTAGTTCAAAAACCGTATCCCCCAATCCAGGTCGGAAAACTGGATTGCTCATTTCCAAATTCAGACCCGTTGACAAAAAATATAAGTAGTGGATTTTGCAAGTTCGGTATGTTGCAGAACAGATTTGAGGGAAAATGAAATGACAGATAAGTATGCTGATCTTGCAAGAAAGTCAAATATAACATGAAAGTGATAGTCGTGCCAGTCGTTATTGGCGCACTAGGAACACTCGATGAGCCTAAGAAAAACGCTGGAGAAAATTGTAATCAATCGTCGTCATTATTGAAAACATCTTGAATACTAAGAACAGTGCTAGAGTAAGCAAGAGTTGTATTTGAGAAGCGTGCAATAACTAATATTGATATGAGCGCTCAGTGTAGAGCACAAGAACGCAATCTAAACAGTTTTGCAATTACACTGACGTGCCAAAAGTCATGGAAGAGGTTTTACTGTTGTGTAGGACACCTTCTAGTCCAGTGTAGTACAGTAGTAAATAAAACAATTGGTTGGAATAACTTTAGAGAGATACTTGGTTAGAAGATATCGATAGCTATCCACACTCTTATATTTATAAGAGAATAATCTTGTATGTGATGAGAAGTATCCATTACATCCCACAAATGCTCGATTGGGCTTTGATGTTTAATGCGTTTCATTACTAAAACAATCCAAAATGCATTTCTACAATAAAAATTACCTAACGAGCTTGTGCAAATTGATACCAAAACAGAGAAAGTATGGATAGTAAAATTCTGAAAAATGGCTTACCTCGGAAACGCCCGCGAATCTGTGCGATGTGCAAACTCCGGTTGCTCAACGGTTTAAAGAACAAAAATGGCGGTGCCCATGTTTTATGCCAGGCGGTCTCGGACAGTTAACGCGAAATCTCGTGGTCTCGTCATTCGCATACAAATCGTGGTCGGTCCTCGGCTGTATAAAGCAGGCACATTTTTGTTTCTGATGACTGGGGTTTTTTTTTGCTCGTGAGAAGGTTGGACATGTGACACTGTTTTGTCGGTTACCCTCCTCGCGTTTTTTTCTATTTGCTACTATCAGTTGAGTCGTTGCTTTACCACCGCAAGCTATTTCGGCTATGGACAAGTTCGATCTAAAATTGATCGCATTCGACGGCACCCCCCACGGGCCCGACTGTCGTCGAATGGTTTGAGAAGGCCGAACGTGTTTGCAGGGTGTGCAAAATAAAAGAACCTGCACTGGTCATCCCACTGAGACTCATGAGGGGAGCCTACGCCGTATATGAACAACTCGGGAACGATGCTGACCTAGAGGAGATCAAGAGTGCTCAATATACGGCCTTTGGAATAGACCCCTTCATCGCTTGGAAACAGTTCGTCGGACGACGGCACGATCCGTGTGAGACGGTGGATGTCTACCTGGCCGATTTGCGATAGCTGGCGGTGCTGTTTGGCGGAGCCACCGACCGCATACTGGGATGCGCCTTCCTGGCAGGACTTCAGGTCACCAGTCGGCTCCTGCGAGCATCTTCAAGATTGGACACACTGAGAATTGACGAATTGCTAGCCAGGACCCGAAACATCTTGAAAGATACAGAACAGGTCGCGGCAGCCGTGAGAACGCCTGAGACACCGCGGGAGGGCCCAAAGTGCTACAATTGCGGTGGACCCAACCATTTCTCTAGAGACTGCCGGAGCCGAAGTGACGTAGGAAGCGGGAGCAGCCGACGGACACGAGCACGACTACGCTGCTATCGCTGCAACGAGTTAGGCCATGTAGCACAGGATTGCTCGGGAAACGAGTCCGGGGACAAGGTGCTGTCGCAACCCTTGCCCCCTCTCGGTCAGTAAATGCGGCATTGCCTGTTGTCAACGTGAGCGTTGAGGGTAAACGATGTTCGGCGCTCGTCGACACTGGATGTTCCCGATCGATCATTAGTGCGGATCGATGCGTGACATGGAGCAGTCAACAAATCGAGATTCGGACGATTGACGGAGTGTCTCGGGCCTGTTGTGGTGTCGGGACTGTGTCAATCCTCACAGACGGAGGGAATCATGCCAAGGTCGACGTTTTGGTGGCACGTCAAAGGAACTGGGTGAAGGAAGAAAGGTGTGTGCAGCCCTTTGCATTAGTGAGCGTTCGATCTGCTTGGAGTTAAACCTGCAGGGCAGTGATTCCGATATCAGCAGCCTCCCGGCGGATACAGTGTTTACCGACACTCAAACCACAGACGAGAACACGCATGAGGATGAAGCTTGTGTTGTCCCCCTTTGGAGCGGGACTCGACGGCGACGATCGCCACCTCCTTGCCCTGTCTGTGATCATGAAATCAGGGAGGAGTGTGGGGAAAATTGTGAAAATGGCCTACCTCGGAAACGCCCGCGAATCTGTGCGATGTGCAAACTCCGGTTGCTCAACGGTTTAAAGAACAAAAATGGCGGTGCCCATGTTTTATGCCAGGCGGTCTCGGACAGTTAACGCGAAATCTCGTCTCGTCATTCGCATACAAATCGTGGTCGGTCCTTGGCTGTATGAAGCAGGCGCACTTTTGTTTCTGATGACTGAGGGTTTTTTGCTCGTGAGAAGGTTGGACGTGTGACACTGTTTTGTCGGTTACCCTCCTCGCGGTTTTTTCTATCTTCTATTATCAGTTGAGTCGTTGCTTTACCACCACACATATCATACTGATAGTTACAAAGGGTAAGATGTTGAGAGCCATGATCGCCTACGTCCTGAATAGACAAGCACATAGAAGAAGAAGAAGAAGAAGAAGAAGAAGAAGAAGAAGAAGAAGAAGAAGAATTATTTCTGCATAGTCTTATGCCTTCCTTTCGTTTCTAAAAGCATAAAGCGTCACTAACAGCGAAACATGGGTTCTGGAAACTTGGGTCTTGTCAATTGCACGCCTACTTGTAATCTGCCTATTAAACCTGATGAACTTGTCACCGATATAGTAATGGATGAGTAGCCACAGGATTAATAAAAAAACTGTTTATAGCTAGAATGGATCAAATAATACCAAGTCAATGTTATTACCGACATATTTCGTTGAGTGTTCTCAAAAACACTTTTTACGAGAGACCGAAATAAATGTGACATCTAAAATTACACTTGCCTTAACTGGGTACTGAACTCACACTTTTGGGGTCTTGTCACTCAAGGACACATGGCACTGTGGATAAAGGCGTTGGTTAGATGCAGTGACAAGACCCAAAGAGTGTGAGTTCAATACCCGGTTAAGGCAGTGGAGAACTTGGAGAGGGGAATTAACAGGAGATAGCTGATAATTGACATCCATTAAACATGGCACGTGGAACTAGAACAGTCTATCCCATTGAGCGAAACAAAGGGATCAGCTCGACATTCCAACCACCTGAAGAAGGCCGTAGAGTACAATGGCCGAAACGTTATAATAAATATGGCGACAAAGATGAGGACAATAGTCCTAATAATGTAAATAGTGTACATAATACCTCATCTAAAAAATATAGACAGATATCTAAAATTAGTCAAGATCATCTTTAAACACCATTACGTTTATTTATTTGAATCGGTACTGAAACATTATCAGCCACTATTATATTAATTTTGACTTTTGTCAAATTTCTTTTAGTTGCTTTTTATCATCATTGTTATTCAGGCCGTCGATCTACGGCAGTGATTATACAGCACAGAATGAGGCATTATCAATCATTATCATTTGTATTTACTCAACCTCCCCATGAGGCCAGTTTGTGACACAAGGCCGGTTTAATGTGGGTAGCCCGAGCGTGTACACCCGGTCTAGAAACAAAAATTTCCCGCAGCCCCAGCAGCCTCCGCAGCCGTCGGTTGCGCTGGCCTCGGTGCGAGCACCGATCCCTCTCTCTGGTGCAATGAGAGAGCACGGCCTCAGGCAGCTGTTCCCCAGGGCTGGAAATCTCTCAGTATAAGTTGCGACCCTGTCCTTTGACGGAGTCGCCTCTGAGCGCACTCTGCCCAAAGACAGAGGCACAACTGAGAGATGCATAAATTTACACACTAGGTATTTACTCTGTCTCCCCACTAAGACGAGTTATGACACAAGGTCAGTTTTTAAGGTGGGAAACCGAGCGCGTACACCCGGACTAAGAACAAAAATTGCCTGCAGCACCCGCAACCGCCGGTTGCGCTGGCGTCGGTGCAAGCACCGATCGCTCTCTCTGGTGCAAGAGAGAGCGCGGCCTGGGGTAGCTGTTCACCAGGGCTGTTCACCTCCGTATAATTTTCCTCAGTTGTGACTCTGTCCACTAGTTCCGGAGCGTACAACGGCCGAAACGTTGTAATAAATATGGCGACAAAGATGAAGAAAATAGTCCGAGTAATGTAAATAGTGTACATAATACCTCATCTAAGAAATATAGACAGATGCGACTCTGTCATTTGACGGAGCTGCTCCTGAGCCAAAGACAGAGACGCAACTGAAAGATGATAAATAATGTGTTACAGACTACTCGAGAGAGAGAGAGAGAGAGAGAGAGAGAGAGAGAGAGAGAGAGTAATTTACATATTAATCAACCATTATTATTAATGCTAACTCATATTTAATTTCGTTTTAATTTTTTATTTACTTTTCATTGCTCCTCTAACTTAGAACGTCGATCTACGCTAGTGAGTAAATATGTCGCATAATGACTGAGAAAACATTAAAAAACCCGTTTAAAATAAAACAATAAAGTTTTATTTTTTAATATAATCTTTTCCGTTCGAATATATTTAATTCATTGTTTTTCTATTATGCACCTAAACTGAATATTATATAGGGAAAATTTCATGGTTTTGCTAATACATGTGTCCGGCTCGTAATTAAAAATTTGAATTTTTTTAAAGGTTGTATAGGAATAGATAGGTTCGCCTATCGTCCAGCTCGCTTTAATCCCCGCCTCTTTGAACAGGAGTAGAGTTTTATTCCTTGTTCTTTGTTTAGGAATGGGTTTCCGGTTCTTTCTAAAGTCTTTTCTTTCTCTTTCACTTGCGTCTTAGTGACATTATCGCATTGTTTGGGCCAAATCAATTAAAAAACATCATGTTTAGTGCTCTAATTAAAAGCCTGATAGTTTTCGTGACATGGACTATACCGTCGTAACAAATCCTGAAGGTACGATACAATTTTGTATAATCAGAAACGATGGTTATATTTTGAAAGCAAAGAACGGACTCAAAACTAAAACAACTAAAATGTGATGTCTGCGAATATTATTAAAAAGTATAGAGATTGACAAAAAGCAAGAACCAAAATTCCAACTTTTGACAATTCATATTTGCTGATAACCGTATCAAAATGAACATAGAAAAAAACACCAGTAATTTATTAACTTTTTTTTTTTTTTTTCTGTGTTGTGTTTCTTCATGGCGTTAGCAATTATGGCTCGCCACAATTCCCGTTGTAGCTCTTAATCTTTTTGCTATCTCTCCTAAACCCATATTTTATCAAGTATTTACTCGCCCTCTCGGCTGGGGCTTCACAATATGCCGATTGCCCCTCTGCAGAGGGGTAAGACCTCCACCCCACCCCCAATGAGGAGTCCTGAGTATGACGATGAACTCCATCCGGAAGCAAGGCCACTGATCAGGAGCTTTTCAGGAGCGGGGAACCAGCTCTTAATTGCAGTTGTTCCCAGGTCCACCATGACATGGGGTGGTAGCATCTGTTAGGGTCCCAACTATGGGCAAATAGTTACCCCCCCACCGCCAAACTCGGGTCAAAACACTATGAAAGTGTAAAATGGGTTTTAATCCCAGCAATATATTTGTTGAAAAAATTATTATCAGCAATACAGTTTTGGAAAAAAAAATTACCAGCATACATTTTTGAAAAAAAAAAAAAATTATTATTCGCAATACATTTTTGGAAAAAAAATATTAGCAGCAATAAAAATCATGTCGGCATGAAAGAACCCATTGAGGTGTTGATATGCCATAAAACAAACCAAACCAAACCAAAATTTTTACACAATCATGTTAAGGTAGGTTATACGCTGTTTTCCTCTGTCCGTTTGCCTTCAATCTGTCCTGTGAGTATTAGATTTTCCAAGCACTCTTTCCTCATTATGTGCCCTAGAAATTTCAACTCTTTCTGGTGTTAAGTAAAAGTGTCCTCTTTATGTTTCATTTTCTCTATAACTTTGTCTTTGTTCACATATTCACTCCATAGTATTCTCAGCATCCTTCTGTAGAACCACATTTCTGCTGCTTTAAGTCTCTATAATGAGATGATCCAGTACTCACTGCCATATAGGAGGGGTGATATTACATAACAGATCAGTACTATTTCCTTTGTATCTTGTCACTGTATTTTTTCTTTTGTTTTTACCATGATTGATATATTAGCTAGACATATTAAGGCAATAATTAGACGAGTGTAACGTTACGTTACTAACATCTAGCAAAAATACGATAGTAAATCTTACATACGTAAATTCTTTAAGTCGGCCGTGGAGGATATGTAGCTTTTGGGGACTTTCTTTGAGCGTTCGACCATGTTGCTAGGAAGTGCATCGGGCATTTATATAACTTCCTGTCATCCTGTTGCCTTATGTATGTATCTATATATAAACACCTTTAAAATACCCATACATTGATCGGTCGAAACCAAATATACTTTCTACTCCCTTACCTGAAAACATGTAAGGAAGTAGAAAGTGCAGTTGGTTTTATTAGGATGTGTAGCTTAGTACAATAAATTTTCATTAATTTTTTTAGAAAAATTAAAGCTTTATTTAACATACAAAATACTCCCTCTATGTCAAAAAAACAACAATGTAAGGATTAAAATAACAAATACTTATTTAATAAAAATACAATATTGTTTTTCGCATATCTTTTAAGATTTTATATATACAAGAATCCAATTTCGAGTTCGCCTTGACTTTGTGAGAACTGTAAACACATCACAAGGCCAAACGCTTCAAAAATTTGGAATTTGGCTCCAGAAAGAAATATTTATACATGGCCAGTTGTATGTTGCATGCTCAAGAATAACAAATCTTAAGAATTTACTCTTCGCTATTAAAAAAAAAAAAGAAATTTTCTTTAAAAATACTGTTTAACATGAAGTCCTATAAAATTAAATTAAATTAAAGAAATTATTAAAACGCGAAATAGGGTTTTGTCAAAGTATTTTCCAAACAATTCAGCTTATTCAAATTTCATCGACAGGTTTGCGAAGTTGAATGAAACCGATAACTTCAACAATACTAAATACTGTAAGGATTTCATCACGTCTCAGCGGGTTGCAAAAAAAAAAAAAATTAGTATCCTAAATAACATGAGTTTTCGATTTGATTTAAATTGATTCAACCAGTGACATCCTTTGAAGCCAGATTATGCAATTGGTGGCTATCTGGGTACTTTCTAGGTCAATCCTCTGAAGAACCTAGATCTTTTGATATTCTGAGGTAACACTGAGTACAAAGGCACAAAAATAGAAGCATTACAGATTTAATGACATCAATCAATGTATAATGTTAAAAATCTGTATTTTACACAAGAAATATTTATTTTACAACATAATCTTCTTTATTATCATTTGCGCTTTAACCAATGCTTCTTCACAGATCAACATGGGTCGAACATTATACGAGGGAAAATTTCAGATCAAAATTCAGCTAATAACTCTATCAGGATATAGACTTACTGATCCGTCCTCGTTTTTTTTTATTTTTTGATATTATATATATATATATATATATATATATATATATATATATATATAAAGTTGGATTGATGGTTTATGACCTGGGTTTCACGCTTTTGCGGTCTGACGATCGCAAAAGCGTGAAACCCAGGGTCACAAACTAAAACATCAAACCAACCAAATATGTTAGGTCTATCTCTGATATTGAGCACTTTCTAATAAGTGTGCATATAATATATAAATAATTATATATATATATATATATATATATTTGTGGAAAAATATACATACATATGAAAAATTCTCTCTGTTAAGGTTTCACCCTTTCTCTAAATTCGAGTTGTTTTTCTGTTTTCATTTTGAAATTGTAGGTCTGATGATTTGGATCGTATTTACGATTCCAATGGAATAAATTATGACCATGGAATATTAGTGTTTTAGCCTTTTTTATTATATATATATATATATATATATATATATATATATATATATATATCGGCTTTCCTCCCTTAAAAGCCAAACACTGTCATTCAATCATTGTGAATATAAACCTCTTTGGACAGCTCAATCTTTTTACTTACAAGGTTCTTTTCTTTCTTTCTTTCTTTCTTTTTTTTTTTAATTTTTTCCCTCACTTTCTCAACATATCTATCCTCCCACTCAAACTTAAATTTTCCAACCTCCCCTCCGCCAACACATTCGGGTAACTTGGTGACTCATCGGTTTTAGGTCACCTCACCACCCAACAATGTGTGAAAGCGGTTTGGGGCTATTACACTCTCTCTCTCTCTTTCTCTCTCTATCTCTGTCTCTAAGCGTTTGTGAGTGTGCATATGCATGTGTATGTGTGTGTGTGTAGATACATTACACCCTAAAGACAATTTGGCGCTCCTAATATGTTTACTGCGATGACAAAAACATATACACATACAAAATACACTTAAAAGTACTAAATGAACAGAGAGAGAGAGAGAGAGAGAGAGAGAGAGAGAGAGAGAAAGAGGAGGAGGGAGCGAGAAACAGATGCAGAAAACTGGGTACTCTTATGTAATAGAAAGGGATTTTAATAATCGGTGAGGGTGGGAGAATTTCCCTCAATATGCAATAAATGATGGTGGAAAATCATTTACAGAAAATCTTTTAAAGTATCAAAAGTATGAAATTAATAAACGGGTAGGTCTTAATAATTTGGTGTATGTAGGAGGGAGTTCCTTAAAAAAAAAAAATAAATAAACGTCACTCATTGTTTAGGTTAGGCACCTTATCTTTATGGTACATATCAATGTCAGTATATATATATATATATATATATATATATATATATATATATATATATATATATATATATATTTATTTGTTTTTTTCCCCAGCGTTCTTACATTTTTCCGTTTGGTCGGAGTAAGGGATTGCAAAATTGTCTATATTCTCCATTATCCCATCAAACCTTATCTGTCATATTTAACGTTTAACGTAAAGATGTTTAATAGAATTGTTGCTACCCATATATATATATATATATATATATATATATATATATATATATATATATATATGTGTGTGTGTGTGTATATATATATATATATATATATAAGAATTGTGATCAAATACTAATCAAATATGGATCAGAATCCGACAGAATGATAGGATAAGGTACAAGTAGGGAAACGTCTATAAATCTAACATATTTTGCTTTTATGCCATCGATTTATTCAAATTCTTTAAGTAGTTTAATCACTGGTCAATCTTGCTTCTCTTTGTTGCAATATGTCTTCTAAGTGTTAAATTCTTTAGGCTAAACTTTCAATTTCCGCATTTTATATGCCATAAATTTTCAAACGCCACTTTTCTGCTTGCTCGCAGCAGTTCCCCTGACATTTCTATCAGCCCAAGTGTAAGGGTCATTTTTGTTTCCATTTTCCTTAAAACTTCCTCCTTACTTACATGTTCTGTCCATGCTATAGTCAACATCCATCGGTAGAACCCCGTATCCGTCGCTTCGAGTTTCTGCTACATCTATGAAGAGATTGTCCAGCATTCACTGCCATATAGGAGATTAGATATCACGCAGCAGTTATGCACTCTTAGTTTTTGAAAGGCATCTTTTGCTAATTTTATACGCTTTTGATATCTGTGTTTCATTTTCTGTTACCATAATAACTTAATGGTTAATTTTTTATAAATGATTGATTTTGATGATATCATTACGTAGCACCCACGTTGTGCGTTCGATTTTTGTCAAAAACCATGCAGTTAATCTTATAGTTAGCTAGAAATACCCGTAAAAAATTTCACCGTTTTCCGGTTTGATTCTTCTGATAAACTTAATTCTGAAGCTAATGACTGAATATGCCCATGGCGACTTCTAAGACGATAAAATATCCGTAGAAATTCCCCTATCGTATTGTTAAATATTTAAGTTTGACAATTTTAACAAAATATTGTGATAACAATCATAAATATGACTGCTGGTCGTTATTTCAAGAAGTTGTCTACAAATGAAAAGATTTGAAACTGATAACTTCTCCAATTTCACTGAAACAAACGTTAAACACATAAGCGTGTTATAGCCTCTTTCTTTCGTTTTCTCAGTGAAACGAAATAGCGTCTCTGGTATGTCTTTTCTGTCTTTCCATGCGTTCAAAATGGAATAGTCCATTATTTATGAGGTATTGACAGGAGACGCTAAACACTTCTATCTTCCCTTCTTTCTTTTTTTATTCATTTTCTCACTGAGATCAGTTAGCGTCTCTGATATGTCTTTTCTGTTTTTCCACGGGATCAAAACGGAATAGACCATTATTAATGAAGTACTGTTAGTGCGTGCTAACTAGGGAACTAAGGAAAGAACAAGCAGAATTATAAGATACATAGTCCTTTCTTCTTGCTTTCTTTTAGTACCTTGTTTAAGAACTCTTTCAGTTTTTGAGTCTGTCATCAGCTTAGCGTCATCAATATAGCGGATGCTAATAATACATCCGAGTAGGCTTTTAGTTCCATTACGATCGTTTTATAGTACTGGACAATTCACAAAGCTTCAACTTGCTACCATCGTTGTGCTATCGCTTCTTCCGAATTATATTACATACCTACATTGCCGACCCCTTTATTCGGAAGAAAGAGAGATGCAGCGGATAAGGCGACTTTCTCCCATAGATAGACGGCGCCTATCCAACGTTTACTCGCCCTTTGAAAAGAGGTTTCAGCCTCGGATGTTGTTTAGCGTGGTTATTCTACTTAAAGTTCGGTTACACAAGAAGTATCCATATACTTTGTGTTGTGACGCATTCCTTTTTTCAACTTTATTTAAGCTAACTGCAATTTATGCCACAATAGCGATTCAGTTAGCCAGTAGTTTGATGATGGTCACGTGATACAAAGACACTTAGAATCAGAAAGAGACAGCTGAAATGTCTTTGATACACAATGAGGAAGGAGGGCTAGGAGAATTTAACACTGAAAGGACATATCGAAGGCAAACGGGACAGGGGAAGAGACAGGGTCACGTTCCTAACGATCTTGTGTGAATGGATGAGAAAATGGAGTGATTAGAAGTAAGTTAGTGACAAAGGCAAAAGTTGCTGTCTATATTTCTGAGACGAGGTATTATGTACATTATTTACAATATTCGGACTATTGTCCTCATCTTTTGCGCCATATTTATCACAACGTTTCGGCCGTTGTACGTTCCGGCCTTCTTCAGGTGGTTGGAATGTCGAACTGAACCCTTTATTTCGCTCACTGGGGTAGACTGTTCTAGTTCCACGTGCCATGTTTGATGGATGTCAGCTCTCAGTTATCTCCTGTTAATTTTCCCTCTGAAAATTCGCCACTGCCTTAATCGGGTATTGAACTCACACTCTTTGGGTCCTGTCACAGGATCTAACCAACGCCTTTATCCACTGTGCCATGTGTGCTAGGACTTCCTAAGTCTATCAGTTTTCGGGGTAGAAAAAACGAATAAAAAACCTTGTTTTTTCCGTCACATTCACTGAAACATATATAAAGAAGGATATATATATATATATATATATATATATATATATATATATATATATATATATATATATATATATATATATATATATATATATATATACGTAAGGATGTCTTACTACCATTCAACAAAGTTTAATTATATATCAATACAAATGTCGGTTTGAGATCGGCTATGTGGGCAAGACAATCCAACGGTTAGGGGTGGGGATCGCCCAGCATGTTCCGGGTAAAGTGCGTAGGCACGAACCAATTACATCCGGGTGTTCGCAGACTCATGAGTCAGCGAATGGTGAACACCTTTTAAATTCTGTCGATTGCAGAACGAATTATTCTCCCAATTTCTTTTCTGTCATACGCAGGGCTAGGACGAGTCCATTATTATTAATATGCAACGTCCTGCCCTGTGTAGATAGAGGGAGATGAAATTTATTCGGAGAGATTACTGCTTAACCTAGAAAATATTTAGTGCATATAAAGTTTTTTTTCTCTCCCTCTTCCTTCAATTTTCCCCTTTATATTTCATCTTGGTAATCTATTATTTTTAACATCGGTCGTTGATAATAATTTTTCTTATCAATTTCTTTGTTTTATTCTGCCGACGATTATTTTTCTGAAGAAATGTCGGGCGAAAGGCGCCTAAAATCCCACTTTTTTTTTTCTTAAACGAGATACATTTGTATCTGTTTTAACAATAAAAATGGGAAATATAATCCTTATATTTAAATCAATATATATATATATATATATATATATATATATATATATATATATATATATATATATATATATATATATATATAGTGTTGAGCCAAAATATAATTACCAGCGAAATGTGATAAGAACGACATCTACTTTCTCGTAACGACTATATATGTCAGAGTCAGACTGATATAAGAAAGTAAGTACTTCATTTTGATGTGCGGAAATCCGCAGTTATGATCAAGCAGAAATATATGAGTGACTTTCATAAAGACTAAATTATTTTCGCCAGTCACAGCATTTCCAAAACTACACGACTTATGCTTAGTATTCTTTTTTTTATTAGTTCCTACCATTAGTGATCAAGAACGGTTGAAAAAAAATCAATAACCATCGATAAGGCATTGATTGCATTCTGCCCAGTACTTACCAATGCGATCAAAAATGGAAGTTCACCAAGTACTTCTTCTTGTATACCGTGTCCTTTCAGGGTGTTGGCGATCATGGTTCTCTTGAACTTAGTATCGATTGTAGCAGTTAACAGCTTTTACTCTTATGCCTTAACTTCTACTCACCCCGTTCTGCCATCCATTCATACAAGCTCATTAGGTACGTGACCATGTCCTTTTCCGATGTCCCGTTTGCCTTCGATATGTCCTGTGAGTGTTAAATTCTCCAAGCCCTCCTTCCTCATTGTGTATCAAAGACATTTCAGCTGTCTCTTTCTGATTCGAAGTGTCTTTGTATCACGTGACCATCATCAAACTACTGGCTAACTGAATCGCTATTGTGGCATAAATTGCAGCTTAAATAAAGTTGAAAAAAGGAATGCGTCACAACACAAAGTATATGGATACTTCTTGTGTAACCGAACTTTAAGTAGAATAACCACGCTAAACAACATCCGAGGCTGAAAACTCTTTTCAATGGGCGAGTAAACGTTGGATAGGCGCCGTCTGTCTATGGCCGTCCTGGGTATGACAATAAACTACATCCGCGTCCTTGGTAAGACGATAAACTACGTCCAGCTGAACGGTCTCTGATCAGGAGGTTTTGAGGAGCGTGGAACCACCTCTTAATCGCTGGTGTTCCTAGGTCAACTCTGACCCGGGGTGGCAGCACCTGT